TGATACACTTCTAGGTTCGTGTTCACTTCACGCTCGGCTCAGCGGCTCAGGATGGCCATATGTTGCGCGCTGTGAACAGCTGAATGCACGCCCAAAAACAGCAGTGGAGCTCGTCCGGCAATGTATAGCGAAATTGAATGCGAATCGCTTGCAGTGAGTATGCCGTACAGCCACCATTGGTCTTGTCAGTCATCCTCGAGCACATAGTGCTCGTGGCGTCCCACAAGCAAAAGGCAGGTACAGCGAAAATGTGACCATAGTCAGTGCCACTCATGCATGTCCACCAAGCGTCCACCTCGATGAATGGACTTGGCTTGAAGGCTTCAATACCTACGCAACTCTTGCCCGGAAGACGATCTCTCCTTCCTGAGAACGACTTGACATCCTGTAAGGCGGCGACTGGCATTCTGAATGTTGGGCGTGGCCCGGAACACTTTATCGAAGCTTTCGTCACCCACCGTATCAGCTAAGGTGTCTGGGCAGCCACGAGTATGGCTCCACGATGTCGAATCGAGCTGCAAAATCAGAATCTTGAGATTGCTCCGTCAGGTCGCGACTCGCTGGTATGACTGCAGCTGAAGCCCCTTTCCGTTGTCATGGTGGTAGATCGTGCTTTTACATTCACGTGATTCTTGAAGCGGTCATTCAAATTCACGAATCACACCGATTCATCGCAAGCCCAGCTGCTATGAGGGTCGATCGGAAGGGCATGCCCGCGGCAGGTGGTCGGCGCGGTTACGCGTGGATCCGCGGAGAAGAGCGCGATTCCGCCGCGGACTGCCGCTCCGCTGATGCCTGACACGCGCGCGTGCACCGAGCTTCGCATGCAGGGTCATTAATCTTGAATTGCTGCGCGCGCGCGCGTAACTGCGTATCGAGCCGGTCCGAGTCTGCCGGTGCTGGAGACATCGCAACATGATTCCTGCGCGCGACGACTGCGCCTTGCATCATGCACGGGAGTAGCACGTTGTCAAGCTCCACCGTGACCGCACCGCCAAGGGGAAAAAAAAACAAAAAAAACAACAACAAAACAAAACAAAACACGAGGAAATATCGTCTGAAATGCTTCAATTGCTTGGCAACCGCGTTGGTTACGCTCGCGGCGAAGCTCTGCGCCTTCGCGCTTCATCACCAGTCGACGCTACGAGCGAGAGTCGTGGATCCAATGTGCAAGAGGAGCTGAGAGCAGGCCAGCGTCTCATGAACTTCGCCTGATGCTCACCCTATGTAGAGAGAAGGATTCATCATCTCCGTTTTCCGTACCTACCGCTGCTGACGTCGCGCTGTCACGGTCCCCATGTCGTGTACAGTATGTAAGCTCACCAGCGCGCGTGATCGAGCTGTATAAAGGGGCGGCGGCATGCCTGCCTGCCCTTCAACAGGATTACGCGCGGGCCGGACGTTGCGCTCGTCGCATCTCAGCAAGGGTTCTTCCACCACGCGTGCCATCATCAGCAGCAGCACGCGATTTCTTAAGTCCGGAGTGCAAAAGTCGAGTCAGATCGAGTCAGTCATGATGGGCGCGTGACGCCTAGCTCTGCGACAAAGCCGCTGGTGATCTGCATGCAGGCTCCAGCGCAGTTCCAGTCAAGTCTGCATGCAGACGGCCATGTTCGGCCGGACCGTCGCGGCACAGCGTCTCACCAGTGTCGACAGAGATCCGAAACTCGAATAGGCCGATGCGCCGCTTAATTTGCATTGTCCTTCCGTGATTCACAGGTCTCTCTGCCTGCATGACTCGCTTTGACCGAGCTCGTCGGGTGCCACGTATACGCGCAACGGGTTTAGACTTCTATGTAGCGGTTCAATCTAGAAGCAGGCGGGACACCTGTTGTGGCGACAAAGCAAATCTGCGCGCGCTTGGCGCTTGGCGCTGCTTTTTTACCGCGCTTGTCATCATCCATTACGATTCACAACCAACGCGCGTTGCCAGTTCCATCGGCCGGCGGAGGTTGCTCGGCGCGCTTATGCGTGCCTGTACGCGCTACGTCCGGATGCCCGGAAAAGAATCTCCTTCGGAGTCACGAGTCATCATGCCATCATGCCATCATGGGGTCATCATCCTTTCATATTGCATGGCTCGGCCCTTGCTCCATCATCCACACTCACACTGACTCCATCGATGACTCGAAGACACCAGCATCACTGATATATAAGGCATCGACCTGATTTCAGCACGTAAACGATCTCACAATCACACTGCTTCGCACAACACAAGTACTGCGCCCACCGCAACAGCCGGATACAGCACAATTGCTCATCATTTGGCAACCAGCTCTGCGATCACTCCGCACTTTGCGCAAGCACTCTGCGCAAACATAGAGTCAAGCTACTCAACGCTCACACTCTCAACTGAACGCACAATGTCGCGCACATCAACAGCAGCCGCAACCGGCTTCTTCCAGCACCACGCTGTCTTCCAGCCCTTTTCAGCGCTGCACGACGAACAGGTCGTGCAGAGCGCTCGACGCGCTGCCGCCAAGGCCAGGGAACAAGGCTCGGTTCACGTCTCATTCGAACCTCAGCTGCAACGATGGGACACGAACGAGTCTCGAGCGAGCTCAATATCCAGCGCTTCTCAGAGCAGCTACGGAAGCTCCCTCTTCGACGCTGAGCGAAGGAGAGGCAGTGCAAACGTGAGTGTGGTCTTCTGTCTTGCTCGCGCAGTCCCCGAGTAGAGAGCTGTGACTGATACCGTCGATGTGCTGCTCACCTTCTTATAGAGCTCCGCTGCCTCTTCTATTCGTGCCAAATCCATCTATATGCACGCGTCCAAGGGCTCAGAAGAGACATTGGCAGACTGTGCCCGCGACGAGGAGGAGGATAATGGTTTAAGCCTTCGCAGGATGCCGGCTCGCCGATAAAGGCCCCATCTAGCGCGATTGCCAAGTCCTACCTGATACCTCCCCTACCTCGCTTCGTCTCTTATTTGTACTAAACCTGGCATGTGTACTTGTATCGTCGCAACCGTCGAGCATTCCTCATCACTGCGAACCTCTCACCATTCAACATTGTTGCATCTACACACTTTACTTAATAGTCACATTGGCCCTCGGGCCACCCCAAAGGTTTGCGTCTCCATTCGCGTGATAGATCACATGGAGCTAGCGAGATTTGTTGTGTGTTGCAGCATCTTCATTGTGCGTGGCAAAGAGTACAGATGTTGATGTAGACACTGAACGAAAAGTCCATGCTGCCGCGGAAAGTCGATGATGCCTAGCGGATCGGACGGCGCTACCTTTTAGACTTGGGTGCTTTACCCCTAGCGCCCTTGCGCGGACCAGACATCCCTGCTCCGTCAGGAGTCGTGTCAGCGCGGGCATGTCCGCTCTCGCGTACGTGGTTGAACAGCTTAGATCGCGAGTCGAATCCCTCCCCGCACACATTGCAAGCCTGCAAGAGCATCGAAAATGAGACGTGAGCAGCGACGAGAACGCGACGAACAGAACGCTCTACGCACCTCGGCAGGCAGCTTGCCTTTCCCTTGCTTTTTCTTCGCCTTTTTCTCTGCCGCCAAATTGATCTTCACGGCGGGGAAGTCGCCACCTTCAATAGCCAGATCCCCGGGCTCCTGGGTAGGCGGCGCCCCCTCCATGGGTTCCTCGACCTCTCCTCCCTGCGCCTTCTCAAGCGTTCCCGATGACGGCCGCACAGGCGATTCGGGCACGACGTTGTCGAGCAAGTCGCCTTTCTTTTGTCGCTTTTTCAACTTGGCGCGCGCCTTTTTGCTCAGAGGCTGGCTCGGAGGGGATGATCGACCATTTTGCGTAGTCTCCTCAACGTCAAGCCCCCCAGCACTCTCTCCCGAAGACTCTGCATAGTCTACCAAGCCCAAGGTCGCAACGTCTTCCTCTAACGGGACTGCAGCAGTAGCCGGAGTGGTGAAGCGGTTCAGCCCGAGCTCCTTATCCTGCTTTCTCATTTCACGCTTCAGCCGCGCCACTTCTGTCCGATGCTTCTTGCTTCGCTCATGGTTCTCCCAAGCTGCTCTGGTCTTGAATTGCTTATCACAAGCGACGCAAGCCCAGTCTTGCTGCTGGGGTTCCGAATCGTCTACAAGATCTGAATCATCAGACTCAGCTCTGCCATCCGTCGGGATTTCGTCGCTGTCATCGAGCTCGCGACCATCCTGCTCGCCATCTTCAGCTTCGGATTCGAATTCGGAATCGACTTCCACCGGCGCCTGACGTTCCCAGTCTTGTGGCACGTACGCTGCTGCCCGCTCTGCCTCGGCGCGAGCTCGTGC